AGAGCCAGGAGGTCTCCGGCTGGCTTGCTGCTTCTAGAGCTTGCACTTCAGTCTGTGGCCCTCGTGGTCTCCTGATTCTTAAAATCTGTTTATAATCCTCTAAGAGTGGTACTAGAAGTTTACTTAGATAATTCCAACTTCGTTGCCCTGGTGCCCTGAAAAGAAACTTTATTTGCAGTTAAATAATATAAGAAAGTTATATGTTAGGTGTGCATCTCAAGTTTTATGATCTGAATTAAATGGTCATGGCTTGAAAAACAAACAAAAAAACAGCCAAGAGTTTCTTTGCCGCCTCCGTTTCCTAATAACTTTCCTTCCTTTATGCCCAGCTTACATTCCACATCAACTGTCCAGATGCAGATCTGGTTGAATTATCCAAGTGACAGCCTGAATCTTTGTAGCTGGGTGTTGCCGCATCCAAGCCTGCGGCTCGCTAATGGGTCACACGCTGAGTGCAGGCCTAGCAGCTTCTGGGCCCCTGGTGCTCCCTGTGGCTTAGGTGCATTCCTGTTCCTCTGAGCCTGCACTTTCCTGTGTGGCTGCTTCATGCTTCCTAGTCTCAAAACTGCCCCCTGCCCACTCCTCACGAATTGTCTAGCTTGGAGAAACTGGGCAAGCTCTCCCTGCTGGCTGTATCCACCAGCCTGTATGTTCCTTGCCACCTGCATGCTGGGTGAATGTGAGGGTGTCCAACCACCTGTCCACGAAAGCTCCCCTCTTCCCCTTCTTAAAGATGTGGTCGGTATCCCTTCTCTCCATTTCACTAGTTTTCAGATGATCAGTTTTCTTTTCTGCACTGATTATTCTCAGCAGCTCTATGGCATTTCTTTTTCCTTAGAAAAGCCCTCTTCCCCCTCGTGCTCTTCTAGCTAGGAACTGTTCCTTTTCTGTTCTCTACTGCAAATTTGTCCATATAATTAAAACTAGTCATTGTCTTTGTTTCCTTTTTTCCCACTTTCTCTTGAGGTTACTGCAGCTTAAGCTTTTGTTTCCTCCTCTATCTTGCTCTCTGGGAGCTCTCCTGCAGAGGACATCAGTGAGAGCGCTTTCAGTCCTTACAGCCCCGTGTGACACAGGTTGATCGCCCTCATCTTGGGGACGCTCATCTTGATTGGCTTATAGGACAGCATCAGCTTCAAGTTTCTTCCAAACTCATTTTTGTCTACCTTACTGGTCACTTGCTGTGTTCTTCATATTTGGAGTGAGCAGGCCACACCTTAAAGCTCTTCTTTAAATGTACCTAGCAAGCTCATCCAGTGGCGTGCTACTAAACATCATCTTTGCGCTCAGGCTTTCTAACTCGTATGTGCAACTGCATCTCTGTCTGCACGTCTGAGGCCCTGCAAAGCAACCATGTCAAAACCTGTACTTCAAGTCTCATTCTGACGTGATCCTTATGAGTTTATTTTTTCGCAGTTGTTGGCAATTCTTTCCTTTGGTTTACTCAAGCCATAAGCCTTTGAATCATCTGTAGTATTTCTTTGGCTCATCCATTTTATCAGCAAATCCTTTCAGCCCCATTTTTAGAATATGTCCAGAGCCTCAAAATGCTCCACTTCTCTGCTGTAATACACCATCCTTTACCAGGAATCCTGTCACTGGTCTTGCCCTGCCTTCCTGCTGTTTACAGGGAATTCACAAAACCCCAGCCTGAGGAATCCTGCTGCATTGCAGCCCAAGGAATGGCATGCCTTTGTCCAGTGACTTCCAGTTTCTCTCCCTCATCTGCTTTCTGACTCCTCCTCACAGTAAAAGTCGTGGTGCACAGTGGCTCACACAGCCCAGCCTGTCTAGGCGGGGTCCTCCTCGCACCCACTGTGCTCGCTGATGTTCTCCCTTTGCATGGCTTCTCTTATTCTTCTTGTTCTCTAATGAGCTGTAGATGTTTTTATCAAGGTTTTTGCTTGAGGGTCCTCTTCCAAGACATTTATTGTCTTGGATATACCTGGGATATTGCGTTCTTTTCAAATGTCTTTTTCTTCAGTGTCTCACTTAGGGCTTTCTGATCTGTGATCTCTGTAAAATCATCCAGCAGTCCTGCTGACCTCTGCCCAACCTGTTGCTTTGCCCTGCTCCACCGCACTTATTGTCACAGCTTCCTTATATAGATTTATTCCATCATCTTTTTTTCTTGATAATTTCTCTTGACTGAAATGCAAACTTCACCAAGGGTACACATTCATTTTGCTCTGTTCCCTAGCATGGAGAAGAGTACTAATATGTTAAGTATGTTATAAACATTAGTTAAAATAACTATAAATTATTTCAATCTTTCCAGCATCATGATTCTTCTGTTTCGAAGAGGAGGTTCAGGGGATTTAGTTTGTTTGTTTTTGTAGTCAATGGTCAAACTCAGGACCGTGTGCTTGCCAGGCAGGCGCTTATGCTGCTGTGCTCTCTCCCCGGCCCAAACTTAGTATTTTGTGGAGACCTGAATTCTGGTCTGCCTTGCGTCATAGTAAATCATTCTGTTTATCAATCACCTCCCCGGGTTCATTGTACGTGAACTCTACATTGAGTTATTTACATTATAGTATCAATATCATCATCAGTATTGGATGCTTTCTTAGTGTTCTTACCCTCAATCGATATTAGAGAAAAAATAGGAATAGGATTTTAATATATAGTTCATGTTGCATCATTAAACATGTCAAAAGAATTTATTAACCTATGTATTGTAGTAAGAGGGTTCTAAAAAAATCAGCATTTCGCTATTTGTGGTTCGTAGTTAAAGGGAATGATTGAGCTAGTAGTGAATTCGACATACCAAAAAGTCCTGATATCCCTAGGTTATAGACAGAAAGCATGATGATTAGAACTGTTCCAAAATATTTGGTTAGGTGGCTAGCCAGTGGTCATCTTTTGCCACCCACTAGATCCCTGAAATGAGATGGTGTCATGAGATACAGGTGTTAGGTGTATCAAGTGAGAATCAGTAATGTAAGCAAAGTTGAGGCATGAATGAAAGTCTGAGACCTTTATCAAACTCAAATTTAAAAACTCTCAAACTCTAACTGCTGTTTCCTATTTAGTAGGCCCATTAAGAGCCGACCTTTCTCCTGAGCTTTTAGGTTGTTTTTCTGTTGGGTTTTTGGAGTGTCCTGTAGGTACAGAAGTTAATGTGTTAGAGCAGTTTCTGTGCAGGTTTTGGGGTGTCCCCCGTAGTGCCCTTCTATATAGCATTCACTTCCTCAGTTTCCCATCACTCACATAACTCTTGGGCAGCCCCTTAAAACTGAGTCTCTCGGTGTGAACTCTAACCTTCTCCGACACATATCCTGAGAGCTTCCTTCGGACAAGCCTTTCTAACCCTGTACATCCATCTGGTGTCCTTTCTTTTGAGGGTCAAATCTCTCTCCAGATGCTCAGTGTTGTCTTTCATATGTCATTAAATAGTTGTTATAATTTTCCCACAATTGGTCATCTTTAAATGTGTGAAGGTTAGTCTGAAAAAGGCAATTCTGTCATTATCTTAAAAACCTCAGTAAGTTGGGATATATAGTTTTTTTCATTATCATACTATGTAAAAACTTTCTAATTTCCATTAACTTAATTTCTTTGAGCAGCATGTTATTTAGATACGTATTTCTAAAGCTTTTGTAGCTGAATTCCTCCATGGTCAAAGAATATATGCAGTGAGATACATCTATTAGCAGGTTAGTTGGTAAAGAAAATGTGGTCTTTATGCACAGTGGAGAACTACCCCACCATAAAGCAGGATAAACTTGATTTGTGGGACAATGGATATACCGTGAGACCAAAATGTTCAGTGAAATAGATTGGATACTGAAATGTAAATAGTTCATGCTTTCTCTTAAATGACAGAGGCAAGTTACAAAGAGCAAAATGAAAGATATTGGGAGATAGGATGAAAGGTCTTTCTCAAATGGTAAAGGGAATCAAGAAATGCAGGGGTCAGAAGGAACAGGAAGGGAGGGGATGAAGGGAAGGATTGAGACATGTCACATGTATGTGCCGTGCCACAGAAGGAGTGTGAATGTGTACTGAAAACGTGGACTCATAACCAAAAGATTGTAATCCTCTAAAGCTGTTGAGCGTGGACTCATCGTGTACATGGTCCCCTAGTGTCCGCGTTATCTAGTTACTGAGAAAGGGTTTGGCTTCTTAGCTGGTGGAGGTGATGTCCTGTGTATGTGAATTAGGCTGTGTCTGTTAATTGTGCATTAATCTTTCATGTTTTTAACCTTTGCTTTTTCTGTCAGTTGAAACTGGTATATCAGAAGGCAATCGGCAATCAGGAGACTGCCGATTTGTCCATTTGTCTTTGTGTTTGCATTATTGTTTCCTTATTTATTTGGAGCCCGTTGTTAGATGAGTTTAAGTTTAGGATTTTTGTGTTCTTGTGAATTAAATCCTTTCACAAGTCTGACTTTGGCTTTTTCATCTCTGGGAAAGCCTTTCCCCTCAATGCTGCTTTGTGTGCTGGGAGAGTGCCGTCTGCTCTCTCTCGGTTCTCTTTCTTTTTT